TGCTTGACTCTGTGTGTTGTGTGTTGTCTTAGAGCCGCTGTGCCTGATGAAGCCATATGTAACACTTAAGTAACCCCCCTACCGTAACGTAAGGCCCAAAACAAATACAGGTGGGTTACAGTTTCGCGACCGACCTAATTATTCCAGCAACCCTAACATTTGTCAATTTCTTTAAAGTAAAAAAAAAAAATTTAAAAAAAAATTTAACAAATGAATTAACAGTTCCTGCTTCAAAAGCACAACGCAATCCTTCGGACATGGTTCGTAATAAAATGTTTTCCCTACTACCTACGCTATTTTTTTCGCATGTAACGCTAACCACACATTATATTTTGTTTTGGCCAACTGTAACATCCCCCCACCCTGCACCCTGACATAGCTGAACATTACATATCCAACACTCCTACCATAACATAACTACCACTTAACCATTACCCCGCCCCACCCCCCACCTCACCGTATGATAACCGTAGTGAAACCCTAACCCTTCCTCAGTAATTAAAAAAAATATCTAGAATTTACTAAAAAATCCAAATTAAGAAACGTGGACAACGAACGGGAAAGAGAGTTACGAGCGAACGTAGGGTAGGCCTACCTGATTGATCTTTCGCCGCATTTCCGTCTGAGTTTTCGCGTATTCGCGCATGCGCTGCTGCTCCACGGCGCCATTGAAAAACACGACTAGTTCAATGGCTCCGTTTTGGTAGCACGTTTGTACGAGCACGGCTAAAAACTGCAACATCCTGTTCCACTGTCCGCCGCATATCCAATCGGAGAAGTACCCGCCGTACAGACGGTCGAGGCAGCTCTCTCCGTCGACTAGGAGTGCGAAATGGTCATCCCGTCCCGCTCGCTTCTTTGCCACGGCGATGCCGCGAGCAAGCCGCAGGAGATCCACCGATACACACGCATTCGGGCAGTGCGTTTCTATGAACTGCTGCAAATCTTTCACGCCCATTTTTTACGTTTTGTTGCACGAGAGCGTGCGCGCAACTAACGCATTGCCAGCGAGACAGGTATATACCGCGATATAACTACATTTGGATTAGAAATAGGCGAGACTTTGAAGAGAAATTCCTAACGTACATTTCGCCATGTGCTTTTTTACCGGGAGAGAAAGTGAAGTGCGCGTGCGTCAATATCTATCCCAAAATGGTATATTCGACGACACTGCCATCTACTAGTAACAAATAAACTTACAGCATGTTGACGTATCACCAACGTCTCTTATATTAGATTTATCTTTCTAGATTTTTTCGACAATGCTATAGAGATTTTTCCAAACCAAAGTATCCGGTAATGTGTCAATAAACAGTATTTTTTTTAGTTAATTTTCGAAACTTTGCTTAATATATATATATATAATGTATTCGTGCAGCCCTAGGAATTTAACGATTTGGGAACGTTTATAGAATGTTATCAGAACAGACGTGTAGGTCAAGCACGTAGCCAGGGGGGTCCTGGGGCCCCTAGGACCCACCCAATCAAAATAAAAAATTAAAAAATTTAGATTAAAAAAATATTTAAAAAAGCTGCAGAAGAAATTGTATTGTCAACAAAACAGCGTCTAAATTGATTTTAAAGCACTATTTTCACATTTAACTAAAAAAAAAAATTTCAGACCACCAGACCCCTTGTTACTCGCTCGAGGACCCCCCCCCCAATCCAAATTCCTGGCTACGCCCTTGGTGTAGGTTGCAAAATTACCGTGCAAAACGGCATAGTTACGTGCCGATCACATTGTTGAGTCTCGGAGCATTTCCAATAATTTTACTGTTGAATTGACAATATGTGAACAAATCGATCACACAGTCGATTTTTTGCCAACAAAACAATAAAATTCCAATAACAATAGTTTTATTACCGACATTTTCATGCAATTTCTCTACACACAGTTTCACGAACAGACATGTACGTGTGATGGCGTCAATTGTCACCATCGCCATCATCAGGTTTCACCTTAAAACTATTACTTTAACTAGATACTCTTTAAAACCAGAGCATCAAAGACCAATGATGGCAAAAGTGACTGCATCTTACACCAAAGTCTGAGCGTTTCGGATTACCGTAGAACTAACCTAGATGGGTACAAGATAGAGGATGGTCAGTTGTTTGCATGCATGCTGTACATGGAATGTCCGCTCAAATCGTGAGTACAGAACTTGAGACAGATATGGACACAACTATCACGGCCCTAGACGACATATCGCCGGCTCCAATCACGTGACCGTCACAACACACTAGCAGGGCAAAACACACTTTCCCCTGCCCTAGCATAAGCCACTCTCAAACCTCCACCCTTGCTCGCTCAATCCCCTCCCCACCCACCAAGCAGAAGCATATTTTCAGTCCCATGAACATGCAATTATTTTTTCATGTTCATTCGAGCTATTGCGTTCGAGGGCACGCACCTTTCGACCAAAACAGCTTGAATGCAGATAGAGCGTTCGTTTATCACGGGATGCAAAGTCAGTCGCTCTTACTCCTGGCGATTCCGTAAACAGGCGCCACCTACCACAGATCATTTTCGAACACGCACGCAACACCGAAATTACGTCGGAGTAGAACAAACTTGTAAACTATAGTTTATACGTATATATTTTGGCGATACACGCGCTGCTTTCTTCCACAGGGATGAATACAAATGTACACGCGCGTAGCACCCGAAATTCAAAAAGAGTCGAGCCGAGTTTCGGCCACAGACCACCCTCGATTAGGGCCGCCCCTAGCAGTTTGTGCGCAGTAGCTTTTCTTCGTTAACCCTCGTGAGCACGAGCGAAGATGCAACGAACGAAAGCCAAACCGGTAGCGATACGATAAATATATAGCGATCCCCGGATTGTCACCGCCCCAGAAAAAACCCCGTAATTACTTAAATAATGTAAAACGTCGTACGACGGGACAACGCACGTCGCGCGCCGCCGACCCCCACTCCCGCGGCGCGAAAAAACATACACTTAAAACGTCTAGATCTCACCTGAATTCTGATATTCACAAGGCATAATAATTAACACGTCGTCAAGAGGCGCGCGAAGCGTCCGCATCTGCGCATTACGTCGTCGCGACGACCCGTCCACGCTCCCCTCGACGTCATCGACATTGCAACGTCCGGTCTCCAACGAGAATCGCGCGTATATTTCGCGTGGGAACGACTCCCAGTGCACGCAGGTCTGCGATTGTTTGCGTCGTCTGTGGCGGTCCAAACCGACAGATCGGCAGCGTGTGTCGTCCCGTCGCACGGCCGCGGTGGCACGGACGATCAACCGACAAAGACATAATTTTGGTAGGAATCCGACAACAGAAGAGACCATATATGTAAGAGGAAGGTTGAGCAGACAATGGGAGGAACCGCTATATAAGGAGAGACAGGAACGCCGTCGCATTAACGTAACACCGGATATGATCTGGAGACCAACGCCCCGCCCGCCCGCACGCGAGATTCCCGGAGACTCGTCCCCACGTCACTCCCGACCTGCCCGCCCACCGTCGCCGCTCGGGTGGCGCCCTCACTTGGCGAGTTCGTTCGACAACCACTCGAGTCCTTCGTAGAGACCCTGTCCCTGCGTCGCGCACGTGTTCTGGATGTACCACTGCAAACACAACCACCACGGTGATGAGCGATCAAGAGGCAGCAGGATTCGCAAACACTTTCTGCACGTACAGATCACGTAGTGTGAATTACGCCTGACCCGAAACAAACCAGTCGAGGGTAAAACAGGATCACGTCCCGTAACCGAAAAAAAATATAACATCGATATTTATACATCGAAAGAATCTTACCATTGACACGGAATCGATAACGAAACCAAAGAAAAATGCTGATATTGACCTTTTTTTCTGTACGAATTTAAAGCACCCAGTGTCAAGACAAAAAAAGATGAAGTTTTGCGAGTTTGCGTGCATTGTCGCGTTGCCGTGACGACGACCTCTCACCTTCCTCCCTCGTATCGAGGTGAGTTCGAGTTTCTCCGTGAGTTCCGCCGCAGACATTGCGTTCGGAAGATCCTGTTTGTTCGCAAACACCAGCAGAATGGCATCCTTCAACTCATCCTCCTGTAGCTGTAGGAGAATAACGAGGAGTCAAAACAATTACTCGGAAATTATGGTGTTTTAACGGCATAATACTATTGCATCCGTCATATTTTTTTCTCGACGAAAAAGACCGTTTTCAGTAGACGTAGTACTTCGGTATTTGAATCATATCAAGCTCTTGATCATATCAGAAGTAGATAATAGGGAAGGAGTGTGACTTCAATAAACAAGGGAAATTCGTCATTTACTAGCCTTAGAATACCTACGATTTACTACGCGTAACTCAACCAACTTGAGCTTACATCGTACACAGTACACTCGCCTAGCATCATGCGAAATCGTTTCCTCGTATACACCCGCAATCCGGAGATACAGACTAAAACGTACGACACGATTATCCATTCTGTTGCCAGCAAACCGAATGTATAAACCGCCTGACTTGAAACAAAAGGCAGCTACTAGTTAGCCACATCGCCGCGCCAAGGGAGCAAGAATGCGCAAGAGTCACTAGTAGCTGCCTTATGTTTCAAGTTGATTTTGCACGATGCTAGGCGAATGTACTGTGTTAGATTTGAGCTCAAGTTGGTTGAGTTACGCGTAGTAAATCGTAGGTATTCTAAAGCTAGTAAATGACGAATTTCTCTTGTTTATTGAAGTCACACTCCTTCCCTATTATCTACTTCTGATCATATGCAATAAAGATTTAATAATGATGAGAAGAAAATTCTACATAAATTGAAAATATTTACCGGCGTGATGACGCATACCTGTTTCATCCAGCATGGGTTAAAACAACAGTCAGAGATGTCCCAACAACGCATCACGCAAGAAATTCCGAGATTCTGTTATTTTCTCTTAGAATCGTTCAATTCTTCTCTCAGACGCATTGGATGTGTTCATAAGGTGAACGTGATTTACGAAACTCGACCGCTAATGCATCGATGCTCACCATCTTGTGCAGTTCCTCTCTCGCCTCTCCTCCTCTCTCCTTGTCGTTGCTGTCGACAACGAAGATGAGGCCCTGAAACACGATCGGAGAATATATGTTTAACGCTTGACAACGACTCAACAATGACCAAGCATCTACTAGTCTACGGCGCATGTATAACACGCATCATTCGACCAGCAAGAAGAAATGAATTTCCCGTAAATACACAGATTATTGTAGTCAGAGTAACTAGCGGCGGTCACTTTTATCCTCGAAATGCTGAATAAAATAAAGTGTTTGCAAATGTGTGACGATACACAGCTACAGGTCTCCAAATAACAGCCTCGCAACCTCTCAAAACTATTCATTAGTGTCCGACGGAAGATAACAGAAAAGAGGAAAAACGGTAGAATTAGGAACGGATAAGCAGTAGTCTTTGACATTTGAAATCTGAATGAAATCATTAAATCTTGACATCATTTGACATTGTATCTTGAAGTGGGGAACGGTTTCGCAGCAGTCGTTGCTACCTGTGTGTTTTGGAAGTAGTGTCGCCACAGAGGTCGGATCTTGTCCTGACCGCCGACGTCCCACACCGTGAAACTGATGTTCTTGTATTCGACCGTCTCCACGTTGAATCCTACGCGCGAAACACGAACAACAGGCAGACGGTGAATCGAGGGTCAAAACTCGGCGAATGATGAACGCACGTGAGCGTGTTTCAATGTGCATGCTTGCGGCGTTTAAAAAAAAAAGGGAGGGTAGATTTTGAGGATGGATAGAGACCTTATCAGATAACTAGCTGGACTAGTTTATAAAAAAAATATATTGATTATAATTTATAACTCCATGAGGAGTAAGGCCATGATTGACGAATATTCAAAATTACAGTTTAAATATAACAACATTCACATTAGATGTACTATACATGCGTGAAACATGAGATTACTATGTCAGTGGATTTTTAGTAATTAATTGTCACCTATCGTGGGAATGGTTGTCACTATCTCTCCCAACTTTAGTCGGTACAGAATCGTAGTCTTTCCAGCGGCATCGAGACCAACTGAAACGAAATGCTCCGACGAATAAATACAGGGTAAGGCACAAGAAGTGTACGAGGCTACAGTCCGCACATGAGGCTATTGAAGAAATTAAAAGCGTATGGAATAAGAGGATCACTTGTAAACTGGATTGAAAGCTTCCTTGTGGGGCGCCAGATGAGGGTGAGCGTTCGAGGACTGTACTCGGAATGGTGTTCAGTAGATAGTGGGGTTCCGCAAGGATCGGTCCTAGGACCACTACTGTTCCTGGTATATGTAAACGATATCCCGGACATAGCGATTTGTGATATGAAAATGTTTGCTGACGATACAAAAATTTGGAAATCTACATCGACAACAACGGACTGCATGCTACTGCAGCATGACCTAAATATGATGTGTGAATGGTCAAGGAATTGGCTATTAAAGTTTCACGTCGGGAAGTGCAAACGGATGCATTTAGGAGGAAATAACGAACAGTTCGAGTACTTAATGACCGATGAGGCTGGGACAAGAAGAGTGTTAGATGAGATTACTGAAGAAGAAGAAGACCCTGGGATATGGATAAATAGCAACCTAAAACCCACTCTACAGTGTACCAGAGCAGCGAACAAAGCCATGGGGGTACTGAGATTGATCAAGAAAACATTCAATTACGTAGATAAAAGGTGTTTCCTTATCCTGTACAAGACGTTCATCAGACCCCACCTAGAGTACTGTGTGTAAGCCTGGTCACACTACTATAAGAAAGATATGGACCTGTTAGAAAAAGTGCAAAGGAGGGCAACCAAGCTAGTCCACTCTATATGTAACCTGGAATACGAGAGGAGACTGGAAATCCTAGGTCTACATTCACTGGAACAGAGGAGAGTGAGGGGAGACCTGATCGAAACTTCCAAAATTTTAACAAACAAAGACAACATTAATAGCAACCAATTTTTCACACCGGCAGCCGGAACCACCAGGGGTAATCCCCTGAAACTATTCAAAAATAGATCCAGGCTGCAATTGCGACAGCAATTTTTATTTTTATTTAATTTACTTTTCTTCTCGGGTTGCTTTGCCCCATCAATGAAACGCCAAATGTTACTATTTGTTACTATGTGTTACTATACATTACTATGTACGCCGGTTTCATTGATTTGTTTAGATCAAGGCGAGTCAGTAGCCGCGGCAGCCAGTCGCTATGCTACACATGCTGCATACATGTGCGATCGATGCGCAAGCGTGCGAATTGGTATTATATAATACCGTACGTGATTGGCTAAGCTGAATCGCTCAATCAGAGCATGGTAGACATCCACCACGGCATGTACACAATGGATGTGGCGTGATAACATCGCTAGAACTGTTTTTCATCAATGTTTGGATAAAAAAAACGTAAGGAACCAATATTTGATTAAAGCTTTAGGCAATTATTTTTACTCGCCAACACGGGCGAGTCAGTTTTAGCTTTGACTCGCCCGATATTATTTTCACTCGACATTGGCGAGCGGGCGAGTGCCAAGCTTGCACGCTACTATCCCAACTCTAACTATAAGCTCATCGTTAAAACCCAGGTTCATAATGTGGGATCAAACCAATTTTCTGACGACCTAGACTTTCATTATCATTGTCACCAACACCCTGGTCTACGGACAACTCAGCCCACCAGCCAACTCGCACCGTGTGGCGAGTTCACCCTCCTGGAGATCGGCGAGCTCGGCTCGTGGGATGAGTTCACCCTCCTGGAGATCGATGAGCTCGCCTCGCCGATTAACTCGTGAGATGAGGCGAGCTCACCGATCTCCAGGAGGGTGAACTCATCCCACGAGCCGAGCTCACCGATCTCCAGACGAGTGAACTCGCCACACGGTGCGAGTTGGCTGGTGGGCCGAGTTGACCGTAGACTAACACTCTCACTCTCACAGTCTCAAGTTCTAAGTAACATAGTATAAACGAGCACACTCGCGAAACGAGGTGCAATAAAGTACCAAGAGAATGTGTGCTGTGGTGAGCACAGGGACCTGA